ATAGATAGATAGATAGATAGATAGATAGATAGATAGATAGATAGATAACCTTAGGTTGTCATATCTCTCCGGTATTAGAATGCATTAAAGTAAAATATAATAAAAAATAAAATATCAATGTAGAAAATGTACAGTAGAAGCTTGTTTTAAGTAGAAACTTAAAACAAGAGGACAAAAGATGAGCTGCAGTGGTCTGATGATCTGATGTAATGTTATTGTAACCAAACAGTATGTGATGATAAGAACAGTACAGCATATATAGTATATAATACAATGATGATAAAGAATATTATTAATAAGGGTTTGATAAGTAAAGGCTGTCCAAATTGAACTAAAAGCCATATCTAACGATGTTTCTGCTCCATCTCCACAGTGATGTCGGGCTCCAGTGATAAGCGTCTGTACATCGGGGAGATTCAGTAGGACGTGTGTGTGAGTGTGTGTGTGTGTCCTGGGAGCGGAGCCTCCGTCGTTCGTTGGGCTTCAGAACAACCTCAGGATGAAGTTTATTACGCCCGGCCACAAAGGGCCTCCGTGGTGACTTTTTTATTACTCTGATTTGTTTCTTTTTAATAAACCTCAATGTTCTGGAAAGAAAACCCCCCTCGTGTTGTTGTTGTTACATCTGATGGTTTCCATCCGCCCTTCTTCACCCTTTTAAACGGACCCATTTGCTTTTAAAGGAGTGGTTTTCCACCCGCTCCTCTGAGTGGAAAACCTTCATGCTGTGTGGATTTGGGGGGAAACTGCAACCGCCCCATGATCTTCTGCTCCAAAATGACTCATTAAAGCACGGACTTTGTGGTTTAGAGAGCTTTAAATACACCAAACAGACAGGGTGGCAGGGCTTGGGTATCAGATTTCGTAAGGGGGAGTAGAAAACCGGTGAAATCTGAACATCTACAACAACAACAAAGCCTAATCTGACAGCCCTGAAGCCTAAAATCAGATTAATCTGAAATACACAAACACCACTTGTCCATCTCAAAGAAAAAAAAGAAAGCAAAAGAGTGGATTCATTGACTTTATTAGATCTGTGAGACGTTTTTAAAGTCGTGACACGCTGATAACTCCACCGACCTCGGACCCACGCTGGTGCCCCCCCCCC